ATGCTGTTAGATTCCAGGCCCATCATTGTTCACCTGTCTGTACATCAAAAAAAGCTACAGGCAGAATTTTCTAGAGAGGCTGTACTTTCGGAGTTCCCTCATTTTCTCCCAAGCATGAGGATGGCTTTCAGTCAGGCAAATCCTTGGGGACCACCCCCCCCCCATCCAGTAAAGCATGTCAGACCTTCCTGATTCCAATCACATGTCTGGAGAATCTATTGTCACAACACCTGTTAAGCTCATTGTCACCTGTGTATCAAAAGTTGGCTGGTAAGATGGCCCAGTGTGTGAGGGTGACTGTTGTCAAGACTGATAGACCCAGATGGTGGAGAGCACCAACTCCCACAAGTTGTCCTCTGACCTCCACATGTGTTCCAGGGCACAAGCTAGTCTCTGAAAGGGGTAACTGAGTAGTTGTAGCCTGTATATTCTTTTGGTAATTTTATAAAAACTGAGCAGAGATGAAAAATGGTCAGGACAAGGAAAACGCATCTCAAACCTCCAGATACCAGACCTTCCCTGGATTTCCAGAATTCTGCCTCACCCAGTGCTTCTGGCTTATGTGCTGCAAGTCCATCTTGGAAGTCAGTGATGTAGTGATGACTTCTTGTGTCTGCTATTAAGGACATTGTTTATTGTGTCCCACCAATGTCTTGCCTGTAAAGTCCGCCAGAGAGGCATTCTTACTTGTCATGACCCTGAGAATGGGTAGTTTGCATTGCTTTACATGAACTCTTGCATAGACTCTCTCACTCTTCACTATGAAAAGGAGTAACTTCCAGAACGTGTGAAGCTAAGTCTGTGGCCCTGGGTGTCGAGTTCACAGGGCGATCATATTTCACTTTCGGACTTTTAACTCTGGCGCTGCTTTTCTTCTGTTCCTGCTGTTGACTTATGGATTCCTCTGAGTCTACAATAGTCTATTTAGGAGTAAAAGTCTGTGAATCCTTGATGAGAATAGAAGAAAAACCCCTGAAATGATTAAGAAAACATCCCCTGTCCCAGGATGCAGAACGTTTATAATGTATAGCTAAGTCAGTTGTTCACCGACGGAGGGGAGGGGGTTCTTTTCTTTAGGGAGGAAGAGTTGGCCATGAAGGTCAGAGAAACTGAGAAAACTCAGACTGTCAGGGAGAATATATTTAGAAATAGAAATGTAGGCAGCGTCTTAAGAAAGGAAAAGTAGGGGTTCAGCAGTTTACAGTTTGCTGCTCTGGTAAAGGAGACCATTCCTAAGTATCTACACTGGGCAACTCACAGCCAGCCCTCTGGCCTCCAGCTGCAGGGGAATCTGACACACCCTTCTGGCCTCTGCTCACACCCACATCCTCATGTGCACACATATACACACATACACACTTACATTAAAGAAAAAAAGAAAAGAAAAGAAAGAAAAAGCCTTCCCCAAAATGAGAGTGGTCTAGTGAGCTGAGGAAAAAGCCAAAAACAGCACCTCCAATTTAGTGTCATGGTCTTCTTTCCTCCTTTGGCTCATGCCCTGTTCTCAGAAACTTCCCATCTGTCCCCTACTGCATGGCTTCAAGGTCACTGAGAGGTGAGCCTCAGCCTGGTGTTGGTGAGAATGTGTGCTTTGGTGATACTCTTTGGCTTAAACCTCACTGGGTCATCTGTCACATCTTAACTTGGTCTGGGTTCCTTCCAATTTGGGACCATTCCTTCCTCCCAACCGCTCTGATATGGGAGGGGACTGTCTGAGCAGGTATTTGGGTATTCGTAAGGCTAAAGAGGCGTCTACCACTTAGCCTTACGTTAGGAGTAAGAGAGCTCAGGGCGTCTTGAATTCATGACAGTCAGAAACCACACGAAGCAGCTGAGGCTGACTTTTGCAATGCTTGTTGACACATGCCATTTGGCCTTTGGCTCTGTCCTCAGGCTCTGCCCAGGTGGTTTCTGGGTCCTCAGATGATTTTTTTTTTTTTTGTAATCTCTGTAGGATCCTACCTGTGGGTGACCATTTGTGTTGGGTAATGTGTGTGTGCACATGGGAATGTCAGTCTTTTCAAAATGGCTGACTAGCCTCCGTCCATGGCTTTTGACTTAGGATTCAAGAGACTGCAAGAAATATCCTGGTCAGGCTAAGCTTTGGCTTTGTTTTTTAAAAATGATTTATTTATTTTTATTTTATGTGCATTGGTATTTTGCCTGTATTGTGTCTGTGTGACAGTGTTGGATCCCCTGGTGCTAGAGTTACAGACAGTTGTGAGCTGCCACGTGGGTGCTGGAAATTGAGCCCAGGTCTTCTGGAAGAGTAGACAGTGCTCACTCCTGAGCCATCTCTTTCGTCCTTTGGGTTTTGTTTTATTTATTCTTGTTTGTTTGTGTTTTGTTTTTTTGTTTAAAGAGTTTCTTTTTAAAAGTATTTTTGTTATTTTAATTGTATTTAGGGCTCTGTGTGTGTGTGTGTGTGTTGTGTGCTGTGTGCACACACACACATGAAGAGTACAAGTATCTGCAGAGGCCAAAAGAGGGCATTGGGTCTCCTGAAGATGAAGTACTTTTAACCAGTGAGCCATCTCTCCAGCTCTGGCTTACACACACACACACACACACACACACACACACACACACACACACACAGAGAGAGAGAGAGACAGAGAGAGAAAGAGAGAGAGACAGAGACAGAGAGACAGAGAGAGACAGAGAGAGACAGAGACAGAGAGAGTCAGGCCTGTGAGAGCCAGCTCACACAGGTTTGCTTACTGAGTGGGACACACACTTCCGCTTTTAGACTTCTCTAAGTATAGAAAAGGAAAAGGTGGCTGAGAAGACGGCACAGTGGGAGGCTGGCTGCTGCTGTACAAGCATGAGGACCTGAATTCAGAGTCCCAGGACCCACCCTCCTCCCACAGTCCCCACCTTCCAACATGTCCCCTCCCACCTTCTCGGCCATTCCTTTTTAGTTTTCCGAAACCCACTGAGTCCTGTTACTGCTGTCTGCTGGGTGCTGATGATCTTACTGGCTTGATCCTGTGCAGGTAACCATGGCAGCAGTGAGCTCATGGCCAGCTCATGGCCAGAAGATGCAGTTCACAGCACTCTGACTTCTACTTCTACTTCTGTTTTCTTTTCTGTGATGGTCCCTGAGCTTTGCTTTGAGTGTGTGTGTGAGAGAGTGTATATGTGTGTGTGTGTGTGCACACGCGTGTGTGCGCGAGAAGCTGAGAGAGAGAGAGAGAGAGAGAGAGAGAGGGAGGAGCTTCTCAGGCTAAGGCTGAGAGCAGCACTAGTCTATAAGTATAAATATTTAAAGGCAGTTTGACAACAGGTACAGTTTAGTCAAACAATAGTAATGTTAGCTAGAGCCCATGACCTCCCCAAGCTATGGGCTTTGAAAAAACAATCTTGTAAAAAGATTTACAGTACCAGGTATGGCTGCCTCCTCCTGTGGACCAGGCCTAAAATCGAAGCAGGAAGTTACCCCTATAGCCTCTGTGCGGTTATAGTCCTAGTGGACACATCTTACCTGGACCAGGTCTGAAATCCAAGCAGGAAGTTACCCCTATAGCCTCTGTGCGGTTATAGTCCTAGTGGACACATCTTACCTGGCACGTGGAGGTTATAGCTTTTAGGGTTCATTACTGGGTAAGATCGACTTTTCTCTGCCCCACCCCCACCATGGCCTGTAGGGCACCTGCTGGCTCTATAAAAGCTAGCCTGCAGAAAAGTGTTCAGGTGAGTTCCAGCTTGATTTCTCTTACCCCACAGTGTTCAGCAAATAAGGCCTTACCATCCAGTTATGGTGGGCAAGCAGAAGTAATGGCAACAGCTTGCATTGTTTCCCAGACCCCTGGGACCTCCCTGACTGGTAACTTATGGAGAGATCTCATGCCTGGTACTGAGATGTTCACTTAAGAACCCGTATAGTCTGGGAGAAGCATTGTTCACTGTGCAGGGTATCTGCATTCCAACACCTTCTAAAAAAGTCACATTTTTAACTTCTTTTTAAAAATTACGAGTGTTTTGCCTGTGTATGTATGAACACTGTGCACATGTCTGGTGCCTGTGGAGGTCAGAAAAGTATGCTGGATCTCCTTGGTTTTTAGAGTTAATCAGTTGTAAGGCATCATGTGGGTGCTGGGAGCCAAACCTGGGTCCTATGTAAGAGCAGTGGGTGCTCTTAATCACTGAGCCATCTTTCTGACCTTCATATTTTAGTTTGCTGGGATGGTTCGAATGAAAAATGGCCCCATAGGCTTCTGTATATGAGCACTTGGTCCACCATTGATGATTGGGGAGGTAATGGGGCTTTCAGGATGTAGACCATTGCTGAAAGAAGCATGTCACTGGGGGCAGGCTTTAAGAGCTCATAGCCTCACCCATGTCCACTCCTGTCTGCTTTCTATTTGAGGCTGGGTGTGTGATGCTGATAGGAGACTCACTCTCGGTATCCTTAGTAACAGTGAACCTGGTCTATTCAGAAGAGTTTCATTCTCTTCTGTTCTAACTTAAAAGAAGCCTAATCTAAGAAGCAGCCTAACCTGGCTGGCTGCAGGTCTACATAGAAGACCTCACTGCAGAGGCCCAACGCAGTAGTGGCTCAGGCATACCCCAGGACCCAAGGCAGGGTGCAGTTGCTTCTGTATTGTCCCACAGTGGCTGTTTAAAATGCTCCCACCGGGGCTCGCCACTCATCCTCTTCCTGTTTCCTGGGGCTGATTCCCAGCTCTCTGGATAGCGACACTCAGATGAGCATCTTTCACAAAGGGCCAGGCGAGGTGCAGAGGAGTCTGAAGCCAAAGGCAGAGGTGGGGGTGAGGTATGGCAGCATCTCCAAAGAATATAGGTTAGTGTCTTCCAGGCCACAGAAACCAATACTGACCCCAAAGCCCCCAGCCTTGCTATCCAGGTTGCTGACCTCAATCTCTTATTCCCTGAAGAATACAATCAGCTTTGGGCTCATGAAAGGTTTAGGTGAGAACTAAGAGATCTCTAATCCTGGACTTTGTCTTTGGGAGGCTTAGGATAGTTCAGAGTCTCAACTGTATCTTTAAAGGAGGGTGCTGTGGGGAGGGGTGATAGAAGAATAGTCCATAAGAGGGACCGGAGGTGGTGAGGGCATCCCAAGCGCAAGATGTCAGGAGAGGACGAGTTTTACCTGTTTCAGAATATCTCCTCGGTGGGGCCCTGGGATGGGCCTCAGTACCACATTGCTCCTGTCTGGGCCTTCCACCTCCAGGCAGCCTTCATGGGATTTGTCTTCTTTGCAGGGACCCCACTCAATACCACGGTGCTGGTGGCCACACTGCATTACAAAAAGTTGCGGCAGCCCCTCAACTACATTCTGGTCAATGTATCCCTCGGGGGCTTCCTCTTCTGCATCTTCTCTGTCTTCACAGTCTTCATCGCCAGCTGTCACGGATACTTCCTCTTTGGTCGCCATGTTTGTGCTCTGGAGGCCTTCTTGGGCTCTGTCGCAGGTACTGCAGGCAACCGGGGCTGGAGAGAGGGCCCTTAGTCACCCTGAGCAGTTTGACCTCTAACAGTGAATTTATGTGAGCATTAAATTCCACTCCAACTCTCTTGACTTGCTCAGTTACATGTATATTCCAGTCTAGGCTCAGGGAGTCTGTCTACTCCATTCTTCTCACGTTTGCTGCAGGTCTAGTGACAGGATGGTCATTGGCTTTCCTGGCTTTTGAGCGCTACATTGTCATCTGTAAGCCCTTTGGCAATTTCCGCTTCACCTCCAAGCACGCACTGATGGTGGTCCTGATGACCTGGATCATTGGTATCGGGGTGTCCATCCCACCCTTCTTTGGCTGGAGCAGGTGAGAGTGTAGGACAGTGCTCTGGTGTGGGACGAGAGATCGGGTGCAACCTTTTATTCTTTGACCTGAGGCGGTAGAGTGGGGGGGGGGTGAGGGACAGCTGTAGACATGGATGTTTACTCTGCAGTTGTAGTCTCTTCTGGCATTCTTCCAACTGGAGAAGGCAATCCAGACGCTAACCCCACTCTTCCAGTTCTCAGGGAGAGCCTAGAATGAATGCTTACTCCTTTTCAGGTTCATCCCTGAGGGCCTGCAGTGTTCCTGTGGCCCAGACTGGTACACCGTGGGCACCAAGTATCGAAGCGAGTATTATACCTGGTTCCTGTTCATCTTCTGTTTCATCATTCCTCTCTCCCTCATCTGCTTCTCCTACTCCCAGTTGCTGAGGACTCTCAGAGCTGTGAGTGGTTTTTGAAAGGGGCAGGCAGGAGTAACTCAGGAGGCTCCAGGAGAGACAGTGGATATATCCAGAGATATCTCCGCCTCTGGACACATGTCTAGAATATCCATAGGAGTGTCTGTCAGGAGGTAGCACGAGTGGGGGAGGGGGAATGAAAATGATAGAGCACTTACCTAGCAGGTGTGAAGTACTGGGTTCCATCCCCTGCACAAGAGGCAGTGGGCGAAGGAGTAAAAGACCAGAGAGAGGAGGGGGTGAGGATAGGATTTTTTTTTTTAGTGTCAGAGCTGAGGACCCTCCCTTCATGATGCCTCCCTCAAGGGAAAGCCAAACTCAGCCAGGAGAGAGAGGGATTTGACCCTTGTGCTCAATTCCAGGTGGCAGCGCAGCAGCAAGAGTCGGCTACGACACAAAAGGCTGAACGGGAGGTAAGCCATATGGTGGTGGTGATGGTCGGATCCTTCTGTCTCTGCTATGTGCCCTACGCTGCCCTGGCCATGTACATGGTCAACAACCGTAACCACGGGCTGGACTTACGGCTTGTCACCGTCCCTGCCTTCTTTTCCAAGAGCTCATGTGTCTACAACCCCGTCATCTACTGCTTCATGAATAAGCAGGTAAAGCTGTCTATGGACATTCCCATGAGGTTCTGGTCCATCAGACCCTGGTTCTTCCCTTATTGATGACTTTGTGACTTAGCACCCTGGCCTCTAGACAGGGCTTATAGATGAGGAAAGCCACAGAATAGTCCAAGCAAGCCAGGATGCTCTAGGTAGGCACGTGAACAGAGTATGGTTCCTAAAACACTGGAACAAGGGGAGGCTAGAACTTGAACCAGAAAAATCAAATTCTTTGAAAGAGTGGGAAGGGATGGGTACTGGCCCCACACATTTCATTTAGCAGTGCTGGAGATGGAACACGTTAGGCAAATACCCTTATCACTGAGCTATACATCATTCCTATTCTGTCTTGGTGAAAAATAACATCAACAGTAACAGATATCTAGGTTTTTTGTTTGTTTGTTTTAAGATGGGGTCAAACTGTGTAGCCCTAGCTGTCCTGGAACTCCTATGGAAACCAGGCTATCCTTGAACTCAGGAGATCATCCTGCCTCTTTCCCCAAGTGCTGGAGTTAAAAGATGTGCACCACCATTTAAGTCCAGCCTTCTGCAAATTCTTAATCCAGCCTTTTTAAAGTCTAGCCTGAAGGAACGAGTAGTTAAAGATGGAGTTTAGGCAGTCTTCAGGATAAGGATGACATGCACTTCTCTTTCCAGTTCCGGGCTTGCATCCTGGAGATGGTGTGCAGGAAGCCCATGGCAGATGAATCTGACATGTCTGGCTCTCAGAGAACTGAAGTTTCTACAGTTTCTTCTAGCAAAGTTGGCCCTCACTAAGGACCCTCAGTTGGCCTGCTGGCAGCAAACACAATGCCACATTTAAGTATCTGCATCTCCATTAGAATCCTAACTATTGACAAAGTAGGGAAAAGATGGGAGTGGGGACACTCTGGGAGTCAGCTTCATTTTCCTGTTACTCTCTGCTTGTCAGCAGGGCCACAGGGGCCATTTCAACAGTCACAGTTCATTTCACCTCTGGAGAACTGTGTGAGAAGGGCTAGGTTTTTGGTGCATAGGTAATACTTTCCTTTTTGGTCATTTTTTTCCCTTCCTGCTGGGGATCTGAGCTGATATATCCTGTGTTAGAATAAGCTCAGCATGGGGCAGTGTCAAGAGAAGGCAGCAGACACCAAGCACCTGCAGTGAACTGAGGAGCTTCCTCAGGCAGCCTCTCCCAGTTGCTGCAGTCTGGGCTATGGCTGCCATGGCCAGACGGCCCCACCTCACCTCACTCATCTGACACAGTTATTCTAGGTGTTCTCCCCTCCATTTGGCTAAATGTATCCATTTAAAGATGTGCGTTGATTAAAGTTAGTGTCTTAATCTCTTGATGTCCTCAAAATGAATTTGCATGTCTCAGTGGCATTTATAAATCAACTCCAAGTGCTAAAAACATTTTACCTTACACTCTCCTCACACCTGCTACTCCTGGGAAATGAGCTCCTTGAGACGAAGACCAGAAGTGTGTGCTGAGTCACACACAGGGAATGCTGGGTGTTGATACCAGGCACTGGAAAGCAGGAGGGCCGTAAGCTGGGAGAAGGAACCAGAAACCTCAGGAATAGAAAAGGACTAAGTGTGAGGAAGAAACGGAAGTAATGAAGATCATACAGATCTGTGTATTTATCTTAGAAACCTGAGGGTTAAAGACTTGGAATACAATAATTCCTAAGAGGCCCATCAATAAGAGACCAAAAGATGGGTAAATGGAGTTGGAAAAATCCCTTTTCTGACATTTTATAACAGAACTCTAAGCTACAATTCCATTTCTTTCTTTTTAATGATTTGTTTTTATTTCATGTGCACCACTATTTTGCCTGCATGTGTGACTGTGTGAGAGTGTTGGATCCCCTGAACCTGGAGTTACAGATAGTTGTGAGCTGCTATGTGGGTGCTGGAAATTTAACCCAGGTCCTGCCAAAGAGCAAAAACAGTGCTCTTAACTGCTGAGCCAGCCCTGTCTTGGTTTCTTGGGACAGGGTCTCTCTATGTAGCCTTGGCTGACCTGGAATATAATCACATTTTCAAGAAAATGAAAGACACATAGACCCTTGATGAATGTAAACAGTTTTATTCAGAAACAGATAGGTACCTGTTTGCATTACAGAATATAAAACTTGGTTTACACTCTATAAAAAAAGAACCAATACTCAAATTCAAGAGAGCTTAGCATTCACAGGGCATTCTCTATAGACATGAGACCACTGCTCACTGCCTCAGACTTGATTTAAACCAGAAACCCAAACCCAAACCCAAACCCCAACACTATGTGGGGCTCATAGACATGAGAGCATAGTTCTTGCTGCTGAGCACCCATGTCCAGAATATGCCATCCTAGCAGATTCAGCTTGCTGGGTAAGTGTGCCTTTCACAGCAGCATTAGGCTCTGTGCACCTAATGAGCTGTAATGCCCTTCTGCCACACAGTGTATGACATACCCTTTCTAAGCCAGGGTTGGTGGCATTAATTATCTCTGGTCTCCTTAACAATAGAGAGTTGAGGATCTGGAAGGCAGTGATGTTCATTACTCCTATACTGGGGTTAAAACCTAAGAGTGTATCTGCTATCAAGAGCTTGATGCAATGGCTAAGGTAAAGTTATACCACAACTGGGCTTTTTACCACACCAAGCAGCCCACCTCAACAGGATTGTGGAAGACCAAAGGGTAGGTCTAGGTTCAGATATGACCATCACCCAGCACCACCTGAATGTATTATTCAGAGATATAGGAAGTAATAAAGATTATACAGATGTATATTTATCTTAGAAACCTGAGGGTTAAAGACTTGGAATACAATAATTCTTAAGAGGCCCATCAATAAGAGACCAAAAGATGGGTAAATGGAGTTGGCAACATGATTTTTTTTTCTTAATAAGGATGGCAACCTGATGATCCATGACCTTCCTACCTACCCCACCTTTTGTGTCAGAGAGAAGGAGATGATGAAATGGGTGTGATGGGTTAACGACGGCAAGGGTGAGCAGTGGTCCTCAAACCACAGAGCCCCCTCTGCACATGCGTCTATCCTTGAGGCACAGCTCAAGCTCTAGGTAATCAGAGGCCGGGTAGAAGAGTGGTTTGCATTCTGAGGTATGAGGATCCCTGGTCAAATCAGCAGCATGAGGTTTCAGAAACCAGCCCACAAGGTAAGAAGACTGCAGTCAAGCTCTAACTAATACTGCTACTTTCCTGTCCACAAGACAAAAAGTGGGAAAATCCCCTGTATCAGGAGGTTCAATGCTTTCATGTAAGGTGCCCAAATTGTTTGTCTTAGTCCAGTTCCCATTCAGTGAGCATTTTTCCTGTTAAAGGCACTTTCACAATGTCATGACTGGAAAAGAATCAACTGTTGTTAACTGCAGTAAAACCAAGGTTAATTCTTAGAAAGGGGCTGGATGGGGCCTTACAGTAATTTCAAATAAGAGTATGATGCATGCCCTGCATACACTTTGTTCCTTTCGTTTTCCAGCTGTTCCTAGTTGGAAACAGCTCTATGAAGAGCTAGAAATAGCCCCGTGAAGACATCATACACACTACTTGGTTGATTTTTCAAGACACTGGCCCTAATTCTTCCTACCACAGCTGTGCTTGACAAAATTAGCAAACAGCTAGTCCTAAAGGGGAAAAAGAATGAAGTCAGTTGAGTCAAGCTGTCTTACAGCACAGGACTCTGTCCTTGCCCAGACAATGGCAGGCTGGACCTGTGACAACAGCTAGCTACTCATGAAATGAGACTTTTCAACAGGCAAGATAAAGCATTCCCTCTCTAAACATAGATCATGACGTACATGGTTTTCCTTTTCTCTCCTGAACATTTCTTATTGATCTCAGGCTTTAAAAAAAAATTAGTTAAGTGAGAATTATTTAAAAAAAAATGTGGTAAGGGGTTGAGAAAGTGTAATGGCTAAAGTTTGTCTACAAGTATGGGTTGAGGATCTCAGTCCTTCATATTATACTCCCAACTAGAGAACAATACAAAAATAAACACACCATGTTATACATTATACAAAGTGTAAACCTACAGACACAAGTGTACTAATCAGAGTTGCTCCTCAGAAGCACGGGTTCCCTCCAGCCCCTCAGAGGGAGGAGGAATGGGGACGGGTGATTTCACTATCTCAATATGCCTTTTCACGTCTTAAAAAGTTTGTAATAACAGTCTCAGTAGCGCAAACAATTGTATGTGAAACCAGAGCTGTAAAAATAAATTACTTTTGAAGAAATGTAGGCTCCTCTGTCTGCAGCTTAGAACTCATCATGTCGGACTAAGGCCTCCCCGAAATCTGTGGCCTGGCTGCCCACAAATAAGTCATACTTGTCCACAATCTCCTCCTTGGTGAGCTTGCCATCCTGAAACCAGAGTCATCAGTGAATTGAGGCTGCATTTGTCATTCCAAATTCAGAAAGGCTGATATAAAATAATTTGAGACTATAATAACTTAAGGTTCTAGTTCCCTCTACATGGAACATGTTATCCCCTATCCCTTCTACACACACACACACACACACACACACACACACACACAATCTTTTTTCATCAATAAAGTCATTAGTGAGCTGGGGATATGGTTCTGTGTAAAGTGTTTGCCTTGCAGGACTGAGGTCCTGGATTTGACCCTTGAGCTTGGAAAGCCAGACAGAATTGTTCAAAGCCAGCTTGGGCTACAGAGGGAGATTCTATCTCAAAGGAAAAAAGTGTCAAAAGTGAAACGACAGGCCAAATATACTCAACAACTTCAGGAGAGAGCTTCAGGTTTGCTCTCTTTGGAGGCAACTATGGAGTAGCTGCTTGGTATGGGTGGGACATGGTCACTAACATTGGGCTGATACTTCAGGGAACATATATCAAGGTCTAACAGGAACAGTGAATTCTACAGGGCCAACCCTTATTTCACCTTCACTATAACACGTTGAGCGACACCCAAAGAAGGCTTGATCACTCATGTCAATCAGCACCAAGACTCCTCAAAGAGGACAATTCAAGGCCTGACAGCTGCTCAAGTGATGCTGAGCAAGAACTTAAGACTCATCCACCTTAAAAAGGTTCTATGGGACAGCACCTGAAGCTTAAAGAACGTTCAAAACAATAAAGACTCTGGTCTTTAATGCACGGCCCTCTGAAAAGGTGGCAGGGGTTAGTGAAAATCTGATTACCTAAGAACCTCACCCAATTTTCAATTTTAATAGGGTCCAGAGAAAAGCCAGCTTGTAACCCCATAAAGGGCTTAAATTTTAAGAATCTATTTGATGCTGGGAGTGATGGCAGACACCTTCAACCTCAGCATTGGAGAGACACATGCAAGTGTGTCTGTGAGTGGATGCTAGGCTGGTCTACATTGTAGTTTCAGGCCAGCCAGCAAGGGCTTTTTTTATATTGAGAGTCTCAGTCAGTCTCTCTTGTTCTAAAAAAATTATATACATGTGAGTGTATTTATTTGATTTAAGATGGCAGGAAAGAATGAGCCTGTAGTAGGTAAAAGAACACAGGAATAACAGGCATTTTTTAAAAAAAGAAAATCTCCTGGGAATTCAACAGTTAGAGGTGATACATGCTGGGTCAGGTTTTTTTATACCAATGCTCTTTGGGGAAGTCCAGGTTTCTCCAACACTACGAGCACAGAGCAAGAGACTTCCAAAATGAGACCAGACAGTTAGTGCTATCCATAGATTTCTGGTCATTAAATTTAGGTCCTTGCAGACTTACAGTAATTAAGACCCTAGAAATACTCTGTATTTTGATGAAATCTGTTTAAGGTAACCCCCTAGAAAAAGACTTTGGACACTGCTAGAGCTTGGGCCTAGAACAACTTACCTTGTTTTGGTCCGACTCATAGACTAGATGCCTGGCTTCTGCCTCTGCATGGTCATAGTCTGAAGGGAGGATCCAGTCTTTGGTCTCTTCCTTGTCCATCTTCCCATCCCGGTTCTTATCTCGAAACTCGACAAACTGTTCCCGCTCTGTCTTCACCCATTCTGGCTCATCAGCATTTCCATCATGGCTGTACATGTCACCTGTGTGCACAGACAGACAGACAGACAGACACAAACAAGAGTCAGTCTTGTTCCAAAGGCTGCCTCTGCTCATCTGGCTTAGTCCTTCTTGGCATCCAGTAGCAGTCACAGTTTTCTTAGGCCAGAGAGACTTTAGAACAAAAGGTATGTTTCCTGCTTTCAACAAGAGTTGTTACTGTTCATCTTTCAACAAGAGTGTTTCCAGCTGCTGACTGAGTGACAGGAAAGCAGAGTCAGTCTGTCTGTCTGTCTGTCTGTCTGTCTGTCTCTACACACACACACACACACACACACACACACACACACACACACACACTTACTTTCTAAAACACAGAGATAAGGTGGTGAGGCTGAGCATGGTGGTGCATGTTTGTTGAGCCCAGGGTGTTGAGAGGCTGAGGCAGGGGGTTCAAAGCTAGCTTGGGCTAAATGAGAACTTGTCTCAAAATAAGAGGTAATTAAGTTGACAAGTACCAAGTAAGAGTTCCTTTCTTACTGCATTGCATCTTACCCCAAGTGGCTAACTATATTGGACTGCTGGTTTAAGGAGGTAAAATTCTAAATTCTCAAGGAAACTACCTACTAACCAACACCTACATAAGTGTACAATGCCAGTGGCCTTCAATCGGGACAAGCAAAGAACACCCCCAAGAATACACTGAGAAGGGACAATGACCAAAGAATCAAACCCCTGACTCTCAACTCCACACAGGGCTTTCTCTTACACCGTGGCATGGCTCTTAAGGCTGCTCCTCCATGTCTCCTCTTAGGATCTCCTCCTCCCTCACCTGTCATAGTGTGGGAAGCTCTAGAGGTGACTGACAACACTGGTGTTGGTCATTAAAAAGCAGACAGCCAGGAAAACTGTTAGCAAATACTCTCACATGTCAAGAGGCTTCTAATTTTTTGTATGTAAAAAAATCAAAAACAGAGTCTAAATTTTAGAATCACAAATTTTGACATATAACTCTAAAGAAGCTGAGAGAACAAAGCATGGCTGCCACATATCTCCACAGGCAGGGCTTCTGTAGTTTCTCTTC